GCCGCGGGGCACCAGTGCCAAACCCCGCTGCTGCTTTGGAAACATTTCAAACGTCCCCGGGAATTACAGATTGTTACAGAACTCCCCACCTTGGGGGTCTCTGGGTTTGTTTCTTTATCAAAGTAAATTTTGTTCCTACGGTTATTTTTATTAAGTCCTTTTTGAGCAAACCCCACGGAACAGCCTGGCTAAATGCAATTAACTCCATCCCCACCAAGTACTCGCACACCTCTCCAGCCTCCCCGCAGCACAAGAGTTGCCAAGCCGCTCCAGGGCGAGCAGTGGGGTGGGGCGAGCTCAGTGTGGCAGGCTCCGAGCTCCACTGAAAGTCTAACGGGAGACGGCACAGGGGGAACCAAACACTTGAAAATGTGTTCTTGAGCCCTTCTGCGAGCTCGGCTGCTTGCCTTAACCTGGGAGCTGTAAGCTCCTTTCAAGACTTCGCTGCTTCCTCAGGGCTGTCACGAAGTCAAGGGCACGCTGCCTCACTCCCCGTGCTCCTTGCTAGCTCCTACACCTGCGGTTATCAGACACGAAGGGCTGCTGACTGGAGGGGTCTGGGAGCCAGCGGCTGGCCGCAGCGGGCACGACAGCAGGCTGCGCGCGCTGCTCCTGTGACACTCTCCTCCAATTCCTCCTCCTGGGGAGGAACCGATTTTGATTTTTGAGGATGAGCACTGTGCGCGTGTGCTGGAGCGGCCCGCGAGCAGAGACAGCAGGGACTTTGGTGTCTGCCTTGACTCCTGACGACAGCCGGAGCTGTTCCCTGAGATCCCGTCGCTGCGGGGGGAGCCAGGAAGCTTCGGTATGCTACAAAGTGGCCTCTGCTATATAAAACATCACAAAGCTCAGAGGTGCTCCAGAGCTCAGCAATAATTAATTTGATTCCAACCCATACATCCTCTTTCTGAAAAGCTTATTAAGACTTCCCCCCGCCACTTTCCTTTGCTTTTTCCTACATGTTTCACAGCAAGAAGCTGCTGGGAGATGGGAATTTTCCTGGCTCCTGTTCAGGCGCTCAGCTCGGAGCTGGCGTAGCTGCGCATGAAGCAAGCGATGCTCGGAGCACGGTCAGACCAGGCCACCGAGCTGCCCCCAGGACGTACCACTGTCAGCCAAAGCAGCGTCGTCAGAGCAGGGCAAGGGGCGGGTGCTGTCACTTGTTACACACAGAGTTCCCCCAGCCCCAAACACCCTGAGAGGGGCTTCTTTCAGGGCCTTTCTTTCAGCCAGGGCCCAGAGCAGGCACATTTCTGCAAGGAGCAGCAAGCCCTGCTCTTCAGAAACCGCAGCAAGGAAAAGCTGAGGGCTGCTGACTGCTACCAGTGCACGTCTGACCGTGCTTGAGGTGGTGTGTGAATACGGTGTCCTTTGCACGTGTGAATACGGCGTCCTTTGCACGTCTGAATATGGCGTCCTTTGCACACGTGTGAATACGGTGTCCTTTGCACATGTGTGAATACGGCGTCCTTTGCACACGTGTGAATACGGCGTCCTTTGCACACGTGAATATGGCGTCCTTTGCACGTTCCCCCTCCTCTGACCTAATCTTTCTAACCGTCGGCCCTTCTTTTGGGCTCTGCTGCCATCTGACTGCCCGTCTGAAACACTCTCCTAATGATGCCTGACACATCAGGCAAAACCTCCTGCTGGGTAAGACGCAGCCGAGAGCCTTTGGAGTCTCAAAGCCTTTGCTTCAGGGCTGGTAATTTCCCTGCTGTATAATTTAACCAGTAACCCATAACCCACCTAAACATGCAGAACAAGAAGAAAGCAGCCTAGACTCACATCCCAGCCCTGCCACCTCCCATGTCCTCAGCGGTCAACTGGGCATGAGACAAAACTCTGTTTCTTTCCCAGTGTTATCACTTAAAATAAACACCCTTCTGTCTACTGGAAGTGCCAAAGAGCAGCCAGAGCCCCAGATCTCATTTTGGATGCAGTTTTAATTCACCTGGAGAAACAATAAACTTTATAAAACCATATATTCTGCTCAACTTCCAAGAGGAGGAGGAAGCGTACAGCAGGGTACAGCTGATGAGCCCGCTCCTGCACCACTCCTCGGTGAACACAGATGGGGCATCAGGAAGGAGAAGAAAGAAGGAAAAAAGCATCTGAAATTTCATTTAGACTTTAAAACTTGCTGGAAATTAAAGCTAAATGAGGCCTGAAATCTGTGATTTTTAGAAAGCCAGGGAAGCTGCTCTTACTGGGGACAATGAAACCAGAGCTACGTAAAACAGACTGAAGCAGGAGTCTCAGAAGGAGTCCCTGCAATTAAGTTAATTCCAAACCACTTGCACATGTTGGAAAAATCAGTTGTGACTTCTTCCTGCCTCCCTATTCCTTTGGTTTTCTTAAAAGAACGTTCTAGCGGGTAAAAGGGATTAAGAGCCAGTGAGTTTCAAGGTGAGCCTCTGCGAAGCCCAGCGCTCCCGTCTGCCACTCGTCCCCTCCGTGGCTCAGAGCTGTACTGGCCCGGCGCAGGAAGGCGCCGGCGGTCTAACATCAGCCCCTGGAGTTCAAAGTCAAGCAGATGCTTTGCAGTTGAGCCTATTATGGCAGCTTGCTCGCTCTCTCCGAAACGGAGATAACAGCTCCTCTCTCCTTCCCTTCTATTAATGCTGTAGGATTGGCACGGTGTCCTCTGTACATCCGCGCGATCCTCTGCACTGGGCCCTCATCTGAACAGACCGAGACCCTTCGTGCTCATTTAGCAGCTAATCTGGAGAGCAATTTGCATTGGATTCCCTGGGCAGGCGAGTGCCGGTGACCTGTGAAGCCCCACCAGGCTTGTTTTTGCTCAGTTTTGGTGGCTGAGAGTAGCAAACAGGCGGCTGAGTCAGAGAGCTAATGCACCATGGCGGTGCCGAGCGGCTCTGCTGCCGCGCTGGAGCTTTTCCACATCAGCAGAGATGCCTCTTCCTTCCACGCACGGGCCTGGGCACTCAGCTCTCACCATTTGCCCTGAATTCGACCCCCAAATTAATCTCTCCCCTCCCTCTCCTATAAATACCTGTTCCAGAAAGTCGAATACAACAGTCGAAGTGCACTCAGAAGAACACCCTGTAGTGCTGGCAACTCGCTGTGAATACAAATGACGGAGACACAGCGCACTGCTCATCCCTGTGAATTACTTTCCTATATTGGCCAGTCAGCACTTAACATTAAATGACTACATTGCAGGCATAATGTTATTATTCATAAAGTGCGGGGAAAAAAAAAATCTGACGGGGATCTGTATTTTGGTGCCTCTGGAACCCGATGGGTTATTTATCTTCAGATTAATGAACAGAGCCTTTCCACCAAAAGAAAAAAACAGAGAATGAAAAAAAACTCGAGACCTGAGTGTATTAATAACATGATTCAGTGTCTTTTCAATCAAGAGCTCCATCAATTTGGAATAAATTTCCAATTCATTTACAAACTCTCTCTGAGCTTTTGGCTTTCAAATCAGCTGGAGAGAAGCACTTGCCCAGGTCTCCCTGCATTTGGTATCCTGCCTCCTTTTGGCTTTTGTTCTTTCCCCAATTGATTTTTAAACACTTTTATAAAACAGTAGCAGCGAGCAGCACAGCTCAGAGAATCTGGCTGGGGGTTTTATTAGATTGGATTATAGGGTCTTACTTGATTCCTTCAAATGGAAAAATAAGGGGTTTGGCGTTTTCAAATATGAAAATATGCTTACTGGATTATAATTTGCATTTTGCGTTTCTGCTTAATGTAAATGACTCTCGCATGTGCCAGTTCCAGCTTTAACGGAGGTTTGAAGCTATTGACATTTCTCATTCTGCTGAATTTCCTCAACAAAGCAACAACGAATTCGTCGGCGGTACCCACAGATCTTACGCCCAAATGGGGCATTTCTGATCAGCTAGCTGGACACATGCTGCAGGTCGAGAGAGGCTCAGCCCAGTGATTCTTGCAGCGAGCCTGTGAGTGACAGTCTCGGGGGATGACTGGAAGTGAGGACCAGATCCCAAAGGCTCTTCCTACTCTATACCTCTGTCCAGATGTTGGCATGAACATGAGCGACCTGAAACCCTCTACACCATCCCGGCGCACCCCGCACAGCAGAGCAGAGCTGGGCGCGCAAGAAGGTGATGCTCATCCTCCAGCGCTGAAAAGCCCTCCTGTGAGATGTGGCCTGCAGGTGTTTGGGAGAGGGGAGGATTGAGGCTCCTTGACATACCTGGAGTATTTGCAGGAAATGCTGAACAAGAGTATTATTTCTTGCAGCACCAGACTGTCCCTGCCAACTAAAACAGAGGGGACGGGCTGGCTGGGCAGCCGTCCCTGCTGCGGTAATTCTGGGGACACCCACAGCAGGCTTGGCGTGATGCAGGAGAGGGCGCGGGGTTGGAAGAGTACCTTCACACTCTGGCTGCGTGCCGCTCCAGGAGCCGTTGGCTTGGCAGGTCCTCTCGGATGAACCCCGGAGCACGTAACCAGGCTCGCAGCTGAACCGGACCACGCTGCCTACATCAAAGTCATCTCCCAGCCCGATGCCATGAGAGGGGATCCCCGGGTCACCACACACGCCCTGGCTGCCTCCTGTTAAGAAGAGAGCACAGTATCAGCAGAGTAAGCAAGTCATGGGGTTTGGCCCTTCCTCTCAACTGCATGTGTTCAGAGGGCCAGGACACAGATTTGGATCGTGTGGCTGACTCCATTTAACTTTGACTGGCTCTCAGCAGAGCGGGGAAATTCCAGATGAAACGTCCCCTGATGCCGGGAGCCCACCGGTTTTAAGCTGGTTGCAAAATACGGCCAAAACTCCTGAATCTCAAGATGGAGCCCTCACCAGCTGCTGCCCGTGGCAGCTGCTCCAGCAGACAGCAGCTCGGTTGCCAGCATCAGTCATGTGAATGGTTTTCCTCCAAGCAGAAATCACGACATGCTCCAAGCCACCTCAGCACGCCCTATTTTATTTGCAGAACAAGAAGCTGTTGGGTTTGGAGCACGGAGGTGGGAGGGATCCAGCTGAGAAACATCCGCTCGTACGAGTTGCGAACGCTTTGAGCTGCCGGCTGTAAGTTAGGGGGATGGGAGGAAGGGAGCAGCTGTAGCAGATGCCTCGCAGAGCTTCTCTGGAGCAGGCTGGAGATCTGGAGAAATGCCCCCCTCCGTACTGCCTGACACAGCCACACACCGCGTATGCCTGTTCTTGGCTTTCTCTGCTAATGATCTGTGTAAACACATCCACCCCCAAGCCAGGAAAGACAACTGCGCTCCTGCCGCTAGCAAAGAGGCTCCCGTTGCCCGGGCCTTCCGCGCTTTGCTGCAGGTATGGCCTTTGCAGCGTTACGTGTAATACAAAACGTAACGAGCAGATTCATCATCTGGGGAATGTACTTGCTTGTAAAGAGGAGAACGCTCCAGGTTCGGCATTTTCTGTCGCATAATGACTTCTATCAAAGTCTTTTGCTCCATCTTGCAAAAGCTGCTGTCGCCACTGTAGGGATCTTCCGCGCACAATGGAGAACCTTTGGCAGGAGATGATCTGAGCCGTGTTCTGCCTCTTCACTGCTTCTGTAACTGTGCCGCCTGCGTTTGGCGTGAGAGAGGAGCCTCTCCCCAAGGCCTTGGGTGGAAATCATGGTTCTGAGGTACTGGTCATTCACCTGGCCCCAAATCAGAGGGGGCCTGTCAAACGCCATCGGCCTCGGTCTAAAGCTGCCTCCACAAAGTCATTCAGAAAAATCACACGCAACAGATGTCCGCAGGAACTAGGCAGAGTCATGCTGAATGTTTCCAAAAACCCACCCGCAAAGATGACAGGAGAGACAGTGAAAACCACATGGGAAAAAGGCACAAATTAGAGCAGAAAACCCTTCTGAGCAGCTACAGATCAAGAACTCTGCGGATACGGCTTCCAAATATGAGGATGACTCCGCCTGATTTCTTTTTCCCTTCCAAAGAAGAGGTTAAACTTGGTCAAGTGGAGCTGCTAAATCTAAGTGGCATAATTCAAAAATGAACACTTGTCCCAAATGCTTTGCTCCAGCTAAGTTCTTATTTTGTCTGCCTCTGTGCTCTCCAAGGAACAAGGGATGGCACGGGGAGGGCTTTGCACAGCACCCTGCCAGTCATTCAGCACCCTTCCTTCTGCTGGAGGCCATCAGCTGAGAGCCCAGCAACCCAAGTTCAGGAAGGCTTGGCAAGCACATCTCGTTACATCCCCCATGACTTTGACTCAAGTCTGTCTCAGCAGGGACATTTTTGCTTATCAGGGTGTTTTCAGCGCAAGAACTTTCTCACTCTGGCACCGGAGTGGGGACAGGCTTCTGTTGCCAAACTGCTCTCAGCAGAGATACTGATGATGTGGAAACTCATTGTACCAGCTTCCACCTGCCTTGTGCAGACCTGGGACTGCTGTGGTGCCATAACAGCAGATGTCAGGCCCTGGAAAGGGGCCACATGGGCTTCTTCTATTGGAATGCACGAGAAAGAGGATCAGATGCTGCAGTCAGGGTGCAAGGACCTGATTTTGCATACAACACGTTCATCCTGTACAGACTCTGCATGGAGAAAACTGTAAAGCAGCAAGCTGCAGTACACCTCCTACCACAAACATTTGCTGCAGTGATTTATTCCTCATCTTGCAAGCCAAGTGGTTTACTCTCTGCCAGTACTTATCACCCAAGTTGCAGGAGACTGGCTAGCTGAGCCGCAGTGATTTTCAGAGTCTTCCACAATCTCCCTCTGTAGCACGTGCATTTCTCCAGCTCAAAGCACATCAGGCTGCCCCCTCGCAGGATAAAAAGGGGTAGCGGAGGGTGGGACTGCCCCCTCCCCTCCCTCCCGAAGCCCACCTCACCTGAGCAGTGCGGCAGGGAGCCGCTCCAGCGCCCGTCGAGCTGGCACATGCGAGTGGAGTTGCCGATCAGAGTCTGCTTCCCGAGGCAGCTGTACCGGACCACGGAGCCAACGGTGTACTTGTCACCCGAGATCTGAGCGTGGGGCGGGGAGCCGGGGTGGCCACAAGAGACCACTGTAAGAGACCGATGCGACAGCTTCAACCACGAGGGCACTGCCCGTGACGCTCGTTCGAAGGCAGATGCAGCAGGCACACAGCAAAGCACTGCATCTTTGCGGTCGCTGCACGGGACCTTGGCAGCTTAAACCCCCTCATATGCCCCAGAGCCCACCAACCGCCCCGTGGCTCATGCTGCGGTGCAGGCGTGGCATAGCAGACCTTGCATCGGTCTCCTGACATGAGCTCACCCTGTACGAACTGCCAAAGGTTTGTGCATAAATGCCTAGTCTTGACACTGACAGGCGTTTTGCAGGGTCTTTGGAAAACTCATCCCTTCTTAAACATGAATACTTCCATGCACACCCTCACCCCCACCCACCCTGGCAGTGCCAGGTCCTGTGACACAGAGCTGCAATCGATGCCGTGTCACACCTGAGCAAATTACCCTGGCGGATTCTGAGCACTGCTCACTAGACCATTGCTAGTAAAAAAACCACCACTAACAATAATTAATAGGTTTACTTCAGCTTAGCAATCAGAGCGGAGACGGGGAGGCTGTTGATGAATACACTGACAGATCTAGGGGCTATTAGACAGGTTTGGATGAGGATGCTCAGCATAAAGACCATGCACCACTGTATTTCTGAAGGAAAGCGTCCGTAACGGATACCTTATCTCCCTCTGCTAGAGTCTAAAAATACCAATACTGGCATTAGGTAGAAAACATGATATATGTTTCAATAAAAAGGAGAGCACGCGTACGTTTGGGCACGTGGGCGTTGAAATATACTGGTGCAGAGCTGTGACTAAAACCAAGGACGCTTTGCAAGGAAATGGGTTTGATAGCTAATACTTAAACTCACACTGTAACTAACAATTTAATAACAGATACTCCGGCAAACTCACCTAAGCTTAAAACCTGTGGCGGTACTGAGGCTTTTAAAGGATTTATGTACACGGTGTGAAGACTGTTTCTTCTGATGCATTAGGCTCTGCTCCCGCGTACGCTACTTATTGGACTTGCTCTCCCACCCCTCAAAGGGGATCAACTCTGTTTTGCTCCCTCCTCAGAAACAGGCATGAGACAACAATTGCAACCCAAGCTTGTCTGGCATCAGCCGCCTTAATTTATGTTTTGGAAAGTGCCTAGTAATTTTAGGTACCCAGCTATAAACACTTTAAAGGGGTATGGGTTTCAGCACTGAGCACATCTTAAATTCAACACACAGAAAACAAAGACATGCAAAAATCTCTTACTTTTCTTCTTTAAACTACTAAGCCCATGAATCCAGACAATCAGTCGTAAAACCGACCTGAGTTTCCAGTTTTGAGAATGCCCACAAATCCTCCAAGTCAATGGATGCTCAACATTTTAAGGAAGGAGATCACTTTTACTTAGCTGGAAAGCTGTGGACTGAGGGAGCCTGAGATATTAGGCTCCCAGTTTCAAAAGGTAACTACCCTCTCGGAGCCCCTGCGGCTGCAGTAACACACGGTTATCACTTGTCAATTCCCCACGGCCTGCGCAGGGTGCTGCAAATGCGAGAAGGTGACATGCTGCTAACAGAAAGGAAGGAAAATGTGCCAAAACCTACTTTGTATGACTAGGTGTCGAAGGATAATACAAGGAAAAAAAAAAAAAAGAAACAATCACGGCTTTGGAACAGCTCAGCTGATTCGAACTTAAGGAGCTCCATTTCCGATTGCTTTAGCGATTCGTTATGCCAGGCCGCAGGAGAGGGCGGCTGCCTGAGCCTCCAAAGGACATTACCGGCTGCACTGGGGGCTGGCCTGCCAGGGGTCTGCTCCTGCCTCCGCCACCAGCTCACTGGGCAGCCCTACGACCACTCCAAATCCACTTGGACCTTGGCTTCCCCCAGCGCAAGACAGGGACACCACCACTGACATCTTCCATACAATGCACGGAGATCTCCTGGGCTAGGGATTGCTACCACAGCATGTGACCACCGGCACTATTTTGCATCTTTCTACATTACTGGAAATGCTCCTTAAGCCAAACCACCACCCAGAACCTCCCAATTCTCTCTGCAAACCACACCGGCAGAAAGGGCCAGGATACCGTAAGAAAGGGGGAACAACGCAGAGCAAGGGTCAGGAAGCAAATCCTCTTTAGCACCTGCGTCGCAGCAGAATAAAGGCTGCATTTATTTCACCATCGCACAGCCACCTCCCTCCCTCAAAGCTGCAGGGATGAGTGGGAGTACGAAAACTCAGCCATGCTTGAGCAGTGCTAAATATGCTCCATCCTCAGTCAGGCTAATTGCACGCTGCTTCCTAGGCAGATCCGTGCTGCAGAAGTTCTGCTGCCCTTCTCCACCTGCCATACTTTTGCTGGAGCTGCATGAAACCAGTAAAACTCAGCGGGAGCTGCCTTCCCCTGCAGAGGGAAACCACCTCTGTCTAACAGGATTTCTCTCCTCAGACCACGTATTTTCCTTCTGTGGGCAGGATCTAGAGGCCAGCGAAGCTGATGGAATGATTCCCATGGATTACGAAGGGCTTTGGATCCAGACTTTTTACACGACCACTCAGCTAAGCAACACAGAACTACATGGGATGAAAGCCTGTGGTGGATGGGTATTATTCTGAAGAACTTACAAAGACACTGTGGGAGGGCACGGTCCCAAGTGCCATCCCCCTGACAGGTAAGGACATGTGTACCCAGTAAGTAATATCCATGGCTGCACTGATACGAGACAGTTGTTCCAAAGCTGAATCTGTGAGGACCACTTGGCTGCACTTGACGGATGCTGTTTTCCAGGTGCCCAGGGTCAGTACAGTTTACAACTGCAAACAACATCAACAAAAAAAACCAAAAACAAAGGATGTAACAAAGAACAAACGATTCTCCAAAAATGAGCAGGAAAAGGGGAAAAAATTGCAAATTGTGTATTCCACAATTTAAGGGTTGGGGTGGTTTTTTTGGTCTTTTTTTTAAAGAAGATTATTTGGGGCAGAAATAGAAAACATCCTTATTAAAAGGAAAAAAAGAGAGAGCAGAGGCAATCCTGCAGGCCCTCGCCCTGCCACACGAGGCTCAGCGGCAGAGCCTTGCTCCCTGGCCCCACACCGGGGCTCACATCAGCCAGTTGAGAACAACCAATTCCTTGACCGAACTGCAACAGTAGAGATACTGGATTAAAGGAGTGCAGAGGAAGGGAGGTGCAGGGAGGGGAGGGAATTTGATAAGTGAACTTGAGCGTTAATACCAATACCGATGGAAGTAGGGCAGCCTAGAAGGAGAAAGGGCTCTGCACAAAGACCATGGCATTTGCTTTGAGTAAACTGGTCTGGGTTATCAGGATGACCTCTCCTAAGGGCCTGGCCTGATATTTTCTTGTGTCCTCCCCACTTACAACACATACTTCAATGTCTTAGAGGATGCAGGGCTGGGTAGGCTCCATTAACAGCTCTGAGTGAAGCCCAAGGGAAAATCAGGTTTGTTGCATGAGATTTACACAGCCCTTGGAGCTCAAACATCGCTTGCACATTCCCGAGGAACCACAGGATTTTTACATGAATTTATGACAGTGTCAGGCTGGATTTTAGGAACCTGGAGAAACCAAGGAGGAAGGCGCAGCCAAGGCCCGCTTGCCTCGACCAGGGCGAGGCACTCACCGCGGCAGGCGGGCAGGGTGCTGCTCCACTGTCCGTTGGCCAAGCACTGGGACTGCGATGCTCCTTCCAGGCGGTACCCAGTGTTGCACACGAACTTGGCCACGTCGTTCAGATTGAACTGACTCCCTTGGGTCAAGCCATTGGCAGGGTTGCCAGGGTGGCCGCAAGTGATGGCTACAATTAGAAATTGGAGATGTTACTTTTTTGCCTGGAAGAAAGCGGATTACCCATCAGGAAAAGTTCCCAAGGAAGCAGACCATAATAAAAAACCCCCACATCAACCCTGAAACGCACACCGACTTCAAAGATTTGTGGCCAGCTCTGCTGAAATACTGAATCAAATTGAGAGCATGGTACCTTTGTTCATTTTACTGGCATAAGAAATTCTCTGAACCACTCTCTAAGCAGCTGAGTGCCAGCATCCTACTGACTTATACTGTAAATCCCTAGAGCTCCTCTTCAAAAATCCCAGCTACTGCTATTAATCTGTTGCCTTACATTACCCTGGGCATCACACACACAGTCATGAAACCTGATGTTTTCCTCCCTCTCCCTGGTGTAAGTCAGATGTATGCTCACTGCAGTATAAAGTTACACCTGGAGGGATAGTTAAAAGAGAGGAAAAATATGAGAAAAATCAGGTTTCTAGCATATGGCCTAGAAAGCTTAAATCTTCCTACTTTAAGTTTGGAAAACCTTTATTTCTAAATCCCTGAAACGAGGATTTTTGAGTGGTTCTTGTTCCTGTGCCTGACGTTAGCTTGGGCCAGCGACACGGTAAAGGGCTAAAGGGTCTCAGTCCGAGCCGCTCCGACAACACCCAGGGCAGCTTCAGGTGGGGAAGGTGCAGAGGCAAGGGCTGGAGCAGCAGTAAGCACACACAGTACTGAAATTCAAAGCGCTTTTGCCTGGGCCACTCTGCTGGCACCTTGGCAGAAGCAGGCGGTACAGGGAGGATACAGCCCCTGCTGCGAGCGAAGCCTGGAGATCTTTGCTTCGAGCACAGCAGCGAGTTCCGCTGCGCAAAAGAAACGTCAGGATACGCCACACAGAGATTTTCAGCTGCTTAAGGGATGCGACATCTTCCAACAGCTGAGGACAAAGCAATATTGATTACTGTCACGCCGAAACAGGGCAATGGTCCATCAGTAAAAGTCCAGCAGTTTAGCTGTACAGCTGCCAAAGCCAGAAGCTAGAGGGGAAGACAAAATTCCCACAAAAGATCCATAACACGTTTGACTGCCAGGGCTGGACTGTACCACAGGGATGGGAATTTATTCCTTATGTAAGCTGGTGACAGGTACAGGTCCAAAAAATACGAAGCAAGATAGCCTTTCGGTGCTGCAGGAAGCAGATGTCAGATTCTCCGAGGTACTTCTGAATATGATTATGCATGTTTTGAAACAGGTGATGGATTCTGCCCCAGAAAAAAAAAGGCTCCCTGCAGTTGGCATGGATCAAAAAGACCTGTTCACACAGAGGAAGCAACTGTAGCAGGTTTAAAGAGAAAATATCAGGACAATAGGAAATTATAATGTGCTAACACATACAGTGCCCTGAGCTTCTTCAGAAGCAATAAAGCCTCAAGGCATCCAATTTCAGAGCCCAACAGTGCTTTGCTCTAACGACATTAAATTTATGTTATCCATAAGGCTTAACATAGTGTAATAACTTCAAGGCCAACTTCTGCACATGAGATGCCTTTACAGATCTCTGCGCAAAAGCTTGGTGGGCTTTCAGGTGCCAGAGTCAGAAGGTGGCACAAAGCAGAGCCAAACAAAGGCACTGCACAGGAACCAGCCCCGTACCGGTTCAGTAGGCAGAAGACACATACAGACCAGCAACGTTCATCTGCTTTTTTCTAATGGGCTTGGTCCCTCCCGAAAGAAACAAGATGAGCCATGAAAACGGATGTTTAGAAAATCCCGCATTTCCATAACTCTGCCTGACAGCAGGAGGACCTCTATCAATATGATTTCCCGGTCCAAGGTTAGTATGTATACACCTGGCAAGTAAAAGTGAATTAAAGCTTTTTCGACAGAGCATCCTCAGACATGAAAGTAATTCAAACCTACCTACAGACCCACAGAAAGCCTTTCCACTAACTCTTTTCCTAAAAAGCTCACCCAGAATCCTAGACACCCTCCAAATTTTAGAGTATCTGCTAACCTTGACACCTTAAGTCTGCTGCTTATTTTTAGGCCAGAATCTGCATATTCATTGATTTACAGGTCATTCCTTACTTCTTATCTTGCTGTTATTATTGCGCATCAGCACATAAAGCTCTAAGCCAGACAGGACGGACTGGAAGCAAACAACTGGAGAATCACGACATGAAATACATGGATTGCACTGCCCATTGATGAGAGGATGCTTAAACTTATTAACACCTTGGAGCTCTAGAGACTTACTTAATTAGCTTATTTACTGGAAAGATAAATGAGCAGGTTGTACAAGGTGACTTGTGAATGCGGATCAGAGGAGGAGAGAGACTGACCTTCCTCCGGCACAGAGCATGGGTCTCAAAGACAGCGAGAACTGCGGTGTGCGTGGGGGGCTACGTCTGCCTTTCACCCCCCCACGCCCTGATAAAGGCTGGTCTCAGAAACCACACCTTTAGAAATTCGCCCATTAGAAATTCAGCGTATGACAAGCAGCAAAGGAAGGTGGAGTTTACAAAGCAGAAGGGAGAAGCAAAGCAGCCACAATTGCAGCCACGCCACCCCTCAGCTCTCTCCTACGCGAGCCCCGGGGCGCTTGTGCAGCACACTTGCTGTGTGCGTGCAAAGCAACTGCACGCAACCGGGCGCGTGAACGGAGCAACCATCTTTACACGTACTCTTGTCCTCTGACTGTCACCGGGGCGAAAGAAATCTGACAACATACTTACGCACACAGACAGGCGTCTTCCCAGACCAGCGGTGATCCTGCTGGCAGATCCGCACTGACATCCCGATTAGGCGGAAGCCGGGGTTGCACTGATAGACCACGCTGCCGCGGTAGTTGTAGTTCTCCCCGTTGATCTGCCCGTTGACGATGGGACCGGGAACACCGCAGTGCCCCGCTGCAGGGGGGAGACAAGGAGAGTCACCGCGAGCTCGCGCCTGCCCCTCCTGAAGGCATCGCACACCACCCTGCCTCGCTGGGTGGATCTGAATTTGCATCTCCGCAGTCATAAATAAAATGAGAGCAGCAGTAAAAACAACATAGAATTTTAAAGCTCTCCAATCTCAAAACACCTCACGTCTACTGAGCAGTAAGGAATCAAAGCCTGCTTCCTTTTTGTATCTACTTAAAACCTTACAGCTTCAGCAGCACCGAGTCCTCGCGTGGGTTCTTTCCTGCACCGATACCCAAAATTCCTATTCCCTCCTGAAACGCA